TCCTGCTTTGAAGATTCTTGGAGGAGCATATTTTAAAGGCTTTGTTATGCTAAGTTGTTACTCCTGAAACAACATTCAGTTGTAGGATGTATTTTGTTTGCAGGGTATATTTATTTGCTAGTCTGTGCTATATTTTGATCTGGAGGTTAGTGGTTAGAAAGTGTTCACAGTGTGCTCTGGCAAGCCATCCAGGTGCCTTTGCTCCTTTTCAGCCTTGTATTTCATAGCTCTGGTTGACACATGATACTCCTAAAAACAGTAGCTGAACCAGGAAAGTAACCTGCTCCTGATTTTAAGGAATTAAAGGCATGACTAAATAATGGAGTGCCTAACTAGTCTTTACTGTAAGCCCTGACGAAGAAAGTGGGGGAATTTGGATCATCTTCACAGCAGGGTAAGCATGCTGAAGTGTTAGAGAGTCAGGGTCTGAAGCAGGCACAGGAACTGTGCAAGACACAAAAGTTTCAATTACTTTTATTTCTTGTGCTGACAATCTCCAGACTCCAGTAGCCGAGCCTTGCCTGGATATGTGGGGTTGCCTCAAGGGTGGGTCTCAGCTCTCCTGCAGAGAGAATTTCTCTTCATTGCAATTCTTCATGTCCCATCTCCCCATTCCTCTCCTGCCAAGCCAGATATGATCATGGGACGCCAACAAAATCTCGGTCCATGACACTGAGATGGTCTCAAACCAGCCTCACAAGAGGCTCTCCAACATATGACCCTCCTTGTTTCAGTTCTGCCTGAGGCTCTCATGGCACCAGCTGGTGGGCTGCCTTGGCTGCAGCCCTGGATCCTGTGTGCTGCTGTAGTCGTTAAGATGGGAACAGTGGCTGATGATGGCCCTGTCAACATGATGGTTCACTCATGTGCCCCTCGCCTCTAGGTCCTACATCCTCTTAGCAATGGAAAACCTACAGCAATCTAGAAATCCTACTTCCAGCCTCAAAACCCGCCTTTCCATACTATGTGCCTCCCACAAAATGGATCTCATGGACTTCAGGCTAATTATGGGGAGCAACTGAGTAGCAGTTGGAGTGAGTAAAACAGGTTTTGAAAACTTTCTGACAGGTTTTCCTATGCCCCCACGTAATGAGGATTTGCCTTCTAACATACTTATCTCCGCTCCTCTTTGGAGGCACACCTCTCTCACAAGACTACCTAGACATCCAGTTTAGTCTGGGCACCCAGTTACATACCTGGGTGAGATGAAGCATACGCTTGATCACCACCGTGGCAAATAAGACCAGGAAGTGCTCTCTATTTTCAATCTCTTAGGAACATAAGCGTTTTAGTGATCTTTCTCAAAATGGAAGACTGCAGCTGAGATTAAAAGGGATGCTATTTCTGTTACATAGATACTTACAACTCACTAATAGAAAAGATACCTGTTTTGGGGCCTCTTTCCTGTAGTCTGCAGGCTCTGCTAGGATGTATTTTCAGTAAGTCAGACTGAATACTCCATGCCTTGCACAGGCGTTGTTGTGTTTTCTCTCATACACGGTCTGACTTTTTGTCTTCTCCTACTTTCCACCCAGGAAACCCAAACATTCCGAAACCTCGCCGGATCCTGCGGTCCTCCTGGGGCAGCAATCCCAACTTCCGTGGATCCTACTCTTACACCCAAGTTGGGTCTAGTGGGGCTGATGTAGAGAAACTCGCTAAACCACTGCCTTATGCTGAAAGCTCCAAAACTGCTGTAAGTATGGCCCAAATTGGTTCTGTGGCAAGAAGACGTAATATGATGCTGGGCAGCGGGTTTTCTGGCAGGTGTCAGAGGTACAGATTAGGAAATCTTTCTGTGTTGGAAGTAGAGGGTGAGGGAGGCCTGCTTCTTGGCTGGGGAACTTGTGCATTGACAGGGGACAATGAATTTACTCCTCGGACACTGCCTTTTCTTTCTGAATATAACATGGGGAACCAGAGCACACATGGAGATAGCTACCACAGCTCAGTTGATGAGCAGTAATATATTAAGCCAAACGCACCCCGATATTCAGGGTTATGTGTCCAAATCCAAAGACGAGGGTTGATGAATATGCAGCCTCCAAACATCTGCCCAGTTCATCTCCTCCATCCAGAGCCTGACCCCGCCATGCAGTTTTGTTCAGCACAGAAATCTATTTAAAAAGATAGCAGGAGCTTTAGGAATCCTTCTCTGTTGTTCCCGGGGAAGAGAAATTCCTGCCTTAGACCCGAGTTGGCAGCAATTTTAGCAAACACCTAACTATTGATGTAAGAGATAAGACACCGTGTCTTATCCTGTGGGTTCTGAGACATGACTTTTTTTCCTTCTGAAGTTGCTGTCCAGAAAAATAAATCCTTAATGTGCAAAAGGCTAAAGTATAATTCAGGGGAGTTGAAAGAGAAGTAGGGTGCTCAGTGACTCGTGCAGATTTGTTTGAGGTTGTTGGAGCTAGCATCTGGCTCTGTGATGGTGCCTCAGCCCTGCAAACAGTTCCATGCAGGCAACGGGGATGAGCTTGACATTGGTAGGCATGTGCTGTGCCTGTCCCTGTGGTCCACCACAGTGGGATTTCGAGAACCAGCACGCTAAAAACACAGGAGTTAGCTCAAGGGGATGTGGGAGGGCACAGAAAGTTTTGTCGCCTTTTAGCCTCGCATCTGCTTTCCAGTAAGTGCTGCTGAGCTTTTCCCCTTTTCTCATCCTCTCCAGCCGATGCAGGTGATGTTTTCAGGGGAGGCCACTCACAGGAAGTATTATTCCACTACCCACGGTGCTGTGCTTTCTGGGCAGAGAGAGGCCGCTCACCTCATTGAGATGTACCAGGACCTCCTGCAGTGCCGGAGCTAAAAGGCCCCATGTTTGTGAACACCACCAACTCCCAAATCCTTGTACAGGTGTGTGGAGGGGTTCTTTTTTAATTTCAGTTCACAGTAAAACAGCCTTTATCTTTTTCTATTAAAAAGAAAACAACAAAAACCTAATCGTTTAAAGTTAGTCACCAATAGCTTCATTTCTGTGTGCTGTATTGTTAACAGGGAAGGGTGCTCCTTTTGTCGGGTAAACTGTTTCTTTGTCATTTTAATTCTAACTTCACTTTTGGTGCCTATCATTTTTTTTTTCTTTCTGTATTGTAAGTGCCTTCTATACTAAAATAAATGTTGTAATAAAATGACTGGGTGCTTTGGTACTTCCTGGGCACTTCACGCAATAACTTGCAACTCTTTTATTCAACATTATAAAAATAGGGTTTTTCTCCCTTCTTACAAAATTTAGAGTAGGAGGATCTTGAGATAGATCTGGATACTCAATGTAGCAGTTGATCTTCCTGTTCAAAGAATTGTGCCTTAGAGACACAGTCATTGCCTTGTACGGATTAGCACAGAAATCATTCTATATCTCCACATGTCTAACTCTGTGTGTTGCCTATCAGCCTGTGTGGGCCTTTGTGCTTCAGGAAACCCACCTATAATTTTGTGGAGGAATTTGTCTTCTTTCAGGGTTCACTCAGCCGGTCCCTGGGAAGTTACCAAAAGAATTGCAGCACTGCAAAGCAGAGAGACAAACAAACCTTGATGAAAGCAGTGTTGGAGACTGTGCCCACATTTGGTCTGGAATGGTATCATGGTTTTGAAGGGAGTGCCCCAGTCATTCCCACTTTTCAAAAACTGATTTGGTTCACAAAGTGGTTTTGAGGTGTACAAGTTAGGCTTCTCTCTAAGGAAACTAAACCAGAAGCACTTCTCCAGGAACTCCCCAGGTATGGTTCAGCCTGTAAAGAGAACATCAAAGTCTAAACTATCACTTGTCCTTCAAAAATGCTTGAACCACATTGTGGAAGGAGCATTCATACCTGTGCACCAGACTAAAGTGCAAAGTAAAACCCCTCAACTACCTTGGTAGTGCAGATACAGCTGGAGAATAGTCTATGGTTGTAGCTGGGGCAACTAATCCAAGTGGAAAACTTATGTGGGAGTGTGGGCAAGGAGAATGATGAGAAGCAACATTCTTGAACTACCTCTGTGATGAAACTCCATTATTTGTTATAGAATCATAGAATGACAGACTGGTTTGGGTGGGAAGGAACCTCAAAGCCCATCCAGTTCCAGCCGCACTGCAATGGGCAGGGACACCCTCCACTAGCCCAGGTTGCCCAAAGCCCCATTCAACCTGGCCTTGACCACTGCCAGGGAGCTAGGGGCAGCCACAGCTTCTCTGGGCACCCTGGGCCAGGGCCTCAGCACCCTCACAGGGAAGGATTTCTGCCTCCCATCTCATCTCCATCTCCCCTCCTGCAGCTTCAGGCCATTCCCCTTGGCCTGTCACTCCCTGCCCTTGTCACCAGTCCCTCTCCAGCTTTCCTGGAGCCCCTTCAGGTACTCTTGAACAGCAATACCCAAATCAGGTGAGATTTTCACCCCCCACCCCCAGAAAAGGTCCAAAAGTCTGAATGACACCATTGATGTTGAGGAGTTTTCTCAGGAAGGTCAAGGCCATTCCCACTAGTAAGGAATTTTGAAGGAATGTAAAGCTTGGCTCAGTCATGTTACATCTGGACTAAAAATATATTTTCCATGGAGCCTAATGTGGTACTAACGGGCTTCAATTAAAACTTCTTAAATGCAATTATCCCAGATTTATGGGATGATGAGTTGAGACCTTAGGATACATCTTAGAAAGCTTAATTTTCCCTGTGGGGATGCTGTATCTCACACTTCAGTGATTTTTATATGTCCAAGAGGAGGTGGCACCCCAGAGCCTCTGCTGTAACAGTGAGTATCCCCATGTCCCTCCCTTTGTGGTTAGATTGGGCCCAGTTATGTAGAAATGTGCTTGGTTTATCAACAAGTATCATTCTGATGTTAAACTCTTGCTGCAATAAAGCAAAAAACTGGGAGACGCTGTTTTAGTGGACAGTCAGACCAACCAGGCTCTGATTGAAGAGATGTCCTTCCTTCCTTTGCTTGGGTGGAAGCAGCTTCTCCTCCACGTTTCGGGCAGAGGCCAACACTGCTGAAACACAAGAAGACCAAACGCCAGTGCCAAAGATAAGGGATGCCTGGCAAGGCTGGTTTGTGAGCCTGCCAGCTCCTCCTCGTGCGATCTGGAGAGCATATCTTCATCTGAAGAGCACCTCTGGCAGTGAGACCTCTCGCAGGGACTGAGTAGAACTGCCTGAAAATCCACTCAAATGTGCTTGAAAGAAATGACTACAAATGAAGTTGACGAAAAAGGGAAATTTAAGAAGAACAAGCTTTGAAAATTAACTTGGCGTCAATTAATAAAGGTAACGCAACAAGCCTGTCCTATTGTGCACCACTTAAAATTTTGGGAAGGCATCCCAGTTAAGTTTTATTTTCTGGGTGGAGAGACAGACTGGTTCCCAGTGGAGCCTTAAGGTAATCACCTGTAGCCGTCTGTATGGAAATAAAGATTTCTGATCGCACGGTGTAAGAATTACACCCCAGAAATGGTACTTTGTATGGAAGAACCTCTCAGAACTGGGGTTTTCCTGTTCCAACAATGTGATCTGGACCAAAGGGGTCCAGTTGGTGCAACGCTGACAGGGCTGTGCTGTATTCAACCTGCCCCTCACTTCAGTGAGGGAATTCTCCATTGACCCAAATAGGCTTCCTGAAAAGAAACTTGTTTATTTTTCAAATGGGTTCTATTTCTAGACACTGAAGCGTGTGTGTGTGTTTGTGCACATGGTTTCTTTCCCTCAGAGAGTTCTCTGATTGCGTGGGCAAGTATTTGCTAGGACATATGTTTTCTTGATAAACCATAAGCCCAATGGCAGCCACACCAACTTCCAGTCTGTCCCAAGGAGGAGTTGGGTGCAGAGTCAGGAAACTTGCAGGCTTCAGAGGTCATCAGGGTTTGGGATCCTCTGAACTGTGTGGGTTTAGAGAGAAGGCTTTGGGTAACTTGTTCTGGCTTCGAGCTTCTACAGCATTTAGCACCGTTTGGTGCTGCTACAGCAAATGCAGAATCACAGAATCACAGGCTGGTTTGGGTGGGAAGGGACCTCACAGCCCATCCAGTTCCAGCCCCCTGCCATGGGCAGGGACACCCTCCACTAGCCCAGGTTGCCCAAAGACCCATCCAGCCCGGCCTTGACCACTG